ATGGCATACGAAAATAAACCCGTAGTTACCCACACTGCTATATTCTAGACTAGACAGCTCCATGTAAAACTTGTGTTATGTTCAACTCGGCAAAAACAATGCCTGAGCAATTTATGCCAATTAGGACTGCACATTAGGAACAAATTGTGATTTAAATACTTGGCTTGATGGGATTATTCACATCACATTTAGCTATAGTATCAAGCAACAATTTGAGAATCACCCCTGGGAAAGAACTATGATCCTAGAAAGGGCTGGGCTTTTCTCCCTACTTTTATCAATTTTGTATGATTTTGGTGGGGGACAAAGCAGGAGAAGGCAGTCTCTATCTTGCATTGTGAGTAACTAGAACTTTTTAATGGATACTTTTCAGGGATTCATTTGGACAATGCAGGGAGAAAGAACCTATCTTTAAAGATTGATATCCAGAACCTAGAATAAAATGGGTCAGAAACGAGTATTTTAATTGATATTTGATATCTAGTAATTGCTTCAAAATAAATTTAGAAAGACAGGATATTTTAGAGGTAATGTTGACCTAAAGGATTGTCCTACTTCACTTTTTAACCCATTCCTAACCTGCATTAGAGTGGTGATGGCGTTTTTTGCCATTTTGGAAGTCTTAAAATACCAAAGTCAATCAGAAATGAAAAAAGATCATACTGTTACACAACTGTCATACTCCATGATATAGAAGATGTTCCTGATTATGGGGTACAGTAACAATGACAGGTTATTTTGATAGTACATTACTAAATTGCTGGGATGTTTCTAATTAACATAAAAAGAATTAAGGCATCCGTTCTACAGACACTTATATAGATGAAGTTGGATTTACTGCATATTAAAAAGGTATAACAGCATGCACAGGAGTGAAACACAAATGCCTAACATAATCAAGGGATACAAAACATTTTTTTAAAGCTATTCCATGCAGAAGGGCTGTTACTATACCCTAACATATTTTTTGCTTGGAAATTTTTGAAGAAGATTTTGGTGGAAAATTACTAAAATTGAAACTTCCTTACATCAATCTTTCTTCACTTCTGTCTAGTGTATTTGATAGAGCCATCATATCCTTACAGTTTGACAGTACCTGTGACATCTCCCATACAAATTTAGGTCCTTGTAGTATAAAGAAAAAGTGGTGAGAAACCAGATATAATGAAGCAGAAAGGTGCTGTTTACGCTTTTATCTGTTAGGCTCACACCTTTCCTAGTGTGCTGTTAGCTACGTTAAACAGCAAGTGCCGAAATAACTTGGCAACTATCCATCTGACAATCTGATTCACATCTCATTTACTACTGAATGTAAAATATTTCAGAGAACTTTGAGCAACAGCTCCTTCTTTAAAAATATATGAAGCTATCATAAAAGCTATAAACAAACTACTATAAGAAACTGGCTGTTTTAAATGCTATCTGAAGTTGCAATAGACACATATACATTGTGATTACAGGTTCGGGCACCATTTTGAGGCTCTTGCTATAAGAGGAGTTTTTGAAAAAGTGTACATGATCATGACATCGGTTAAATGGAAAGGTCATTTCCATAGAAATGTGGAATGATTTTTATTCCATCAGTATTTTAATGCAGAAATCCTATGCATATTTCATTGTTAAGTTTCCAAACTAGTCTGCACAGATAAATTTGCTGACATATTTTGGTGAACAATATCCCACATTTATTTTTATATAATAAACTCCAACCCTAATTCAATGTTAGGTACTATTTTGAAACACATCTCCTTATGCCTTTGAAAATAACTTTTATCTGCATAGGTTTTATCTGCATCATTAGAGCAACAGGCAATGGGTAATATGTCAATAATAATTATTTTATAATAATATAAAATTCAAACCCTGCAATAGCTCATCAGCAAGATGTCATATATTCAGACATGCTCTATTGCATAGGGTGCAGGTAGATGTTATATGTGAAAATTTATGGATAAAATATGTATAAGTATTAATAGTTCAAAAGCAACCATTGCCATATTGCTGACAAGTTCATATTTACAGATCGATTCCAAGAATATTAATCAAAACAAAACAGACACCACCCTTTTTCACAGAATGAATGGAACAACTGGAGGCATCCGGTCTGCTTCTATAGAATATAAATATGTTGAAAAATACTTTTATCTAACGCACATCAGAAATTCTAAATGTAATTTGAATTCTTTATGATTGGCAAGTCCACAATGGAGAATGTACACTTATACTGAAATACTAAATAGGAAGACAACCAACTAATAACAAATAAAGAAAGCCAATATTTCGAGGAGGCGCCAATGTCACAACACAACTTGTGGTCTCGACTGTCCGAGACCGCTGTTGATACTTTTATCTCTGGACAGTCCAATAGGACCTAAACCATCCCAGAGAGATGGTGACCAGGAAGACAAAGCCTTGCTGGTCTCAGGGACACCGCAAAGTCCCTGATTGACCCAAGTGAAGCGCTTCAAACTGGCGGCAAACAGGCAGCCCCCAGGCTGACTAAGTCAGAAACGGCTCCGGAAGGATGGAAGTGAAAGTGAGATTTTTTTTTACTTTGAGAAAGATTGCCCAAAGAAACCTTTTTAAAAAAAGATAAATTAGTCCCCTAACTAAAGAATAAAGCGGTGAATTTAATCCTTATTGGCCTGCCTTAGAAAGTTTTGGTTCTTGCTTGCAACAATGTTTTGTGGATTGAAGTGGTTGTAACGTTTCCTGTTTTTCCCCTTGAAGTGAATGGATTTTTTCCTCTATTTTTTACCACTTTTTTTTTGCTTAAATTAAAACTTTTTTTTATTTTAACAAATTCTCCCTTCTATTTGTTATAAAATTACACCAAAGACATTTAAAGATTTTTGTTTTCCATAAAATTGAGAAAAAATATAAAAAAGTGGAATCTGGCATTCAGAAGCCTGAGTCTGAAGTTTTTTTTGAAACAATGTATCCTTTGTTCACTCCTATTTGATCTCACTGACTTTATAACTGAAGGGTTTGCAATTTGTTAAAATAAAAAA